CGGAAATTAAAACTGAACTTAACCATACCAGAACGTATTTCAAATGAAACATTTTTAGCGAATAACTTACCCTGTATAAGCGACATATTCAGCGGTTTTGCTTGCTGAACTCCTAAATTTTTGGCGGCCTCAGATTTAGGAGTGGGCTCTATCGACGACGTATTGAAGAACGTAGTTATGTCGCTAGTGTGGCAGAAGTGATCATCTTCGGCGAACAGCGTCACCTTATATTCGTTGAGACGTTTCAGCTCGTAGTCGAACTTATACAGGTAGATCTTCTGATTCTGCAATGCGCGATATTGAATCAAAATTTGGCTGTAGGTTGAGAGGACAACAGAAGGGTACCACTGCTCCTTGGTGCTCCCTCTCTCCATTGTCTGCTATCCGAAACCGGAAAGCGTTTGGATCTTTGAATTCTATCGGCGGATAAAACCTAAGAAATCTCTTCAAGTATGTACGCTGAATGTCTTAAGCAACTTCTTAAAGTGCCATGTTCGGCCCTATACTCGAAATTTACTTTGAGTTCTATACGACTGCTCAAATTTTCAGCTTAAATAACTAGTTTTTCCTTCTTACACTAGGGAGAACATATAGTGAGCAAAAGCAGTGCACGAAATGGCTGGAGCATTTAGAGAAGATCAAACAAAACAATAATAAAGTGCTCAAACAGTAAAAAAGAGAAGTAATTGTTTTATGCGAATTTATTGCTGTCATCAACTCTTGCTATGAATTTTCCTCTCGATTTGTGTCGCCAGAATTACAGTGGCGAACTGTCCATGTTAGGTTTCTTAATATTCAATCTCTTCTTATCTTGCTACTACATACATAGCCATGTACGACATGCCACTCAAAGCACAGCTGAAAAAGGCAGACTGTATTGTTAACCCTTCACAAATGGATCCGAGACGCGATACAAAAATAGTATTTTCCCCACCACTGTGAGTTCTAGCTGCTAGTCTTCCCTTCTTCCCTTAGAAAGAACAAGTACGTTGAGTCGGCAGATAGGCTGGAAGAAAGGCTTTGCTGACTTTTACTTGGGGGCTCATAATTTCACAATGGTCAGAGGTAAGATATGACGGTTTGCAGAAGACTCAAAGGGATCCCTAGATAATAACACGATTTTAGGCACCTAGCAACCTTTTAGCCTAGTTTAGAGAAGCTCATGACAAGAGGTCCCATGAACTCTTGTTTAACCATGTGGATGAGTTATTTTTATAAATAGCCCAAAAGTTGCAACGAGATAATCCTCACCATGATAATCAGCAATGTACCTCTAGCGACTAACGCAGGGTCAATAGCCAGTACAGTCAACCTCTGCACGTAAAGATGCAGCAATTTTTCGCGGCTTTCAAAGCCTTGTTGAAGGACAAAAACGATATATTGTACTAATGACAGGACACAATGATTCATTGCACTAACGGCGTCAATGTGACTAGTTGGTCAGGAATTTGCTTTCCATCCAGTTTCTCTGTTTTTTTTTT